AAATCAATCTGTTGAGTTACTACTTTGCTGATTTGTTCAAAATTTCAAAAAATATGGTGTACACATTGCAAGAACGTGTTGAGCTGGTTAGCCATTATTACCAGAAACAAAATTGTGCCTGAGTGGCTTCAAGGATATTTAACCAAAACCATCCAGAACGTAACGTTCGCCATAAGTACGTACTGCAATTGATTTCAAAATTTGTGGAGACGGGTTCAGTAATGGATAAAAAAGGGCACCCATTGGAATTGTGAATGATGAAGGAGCAGCTGTGGTGTTATTGGGACATGTCCAACTTATGCCAAACACGCAATCTGTACGACAACTTTCTGCAGTTTCCGGTATTAGTAAATCTAACGTTTTCAGAATTTTACATAGAGACAGGTTCCATCCGTACAAAATATAATTAATTCATGAATTAAATGATGATGATTGGAATCGAAGGGAAGAGTTTTGCGAAATTATGGCCGAGCGTATCAACAATAACCCAAATTTCTTGTACAACGTTTGCTTTTCTGACGAATGCACTTTCTTACTTAGTGGCGAGGTTTACCGGCATAACTGTAGAATTTGGAGCGATAGAAATCCTCATGTATTTCGAGAAGTTCACACTCAACATCCAGAAAAGCTAAACGTTTGGGTAGGAATTTTGGGAGACCACCTAATTGGACCTCTGTTTATTCCTGGTAATTTAACTGGCGAACGTTATCTTGAAATGCTGGAAAATGCTATTGATCCGTTCATAACTGAACAATTAGAAAACGATCCCCTACTACTTGAACAACAATTGCATCTCAACAAAACGGAGCTCCTCCGCACTACGCCGCACCAGTTCGCCAATACCTCAATTTGCAATACCCCGGTCGTTGGATTGGAAGAAGAGATCCTATGGAGTGACCTTCCCGATCTCCTCACTTGAACCCTCTGGACTTCTTCTTGTGGGGACATCTCAAGTCCAAGATTTTTGTGACTCACCCTGAAAATTTGGACGAACTACGCCAAAGAATTGTGAATGACTGTCGTCAAATAACTCAAATGATGCTGAACCATCTCAGAGACGGTTGCCAGTCAAGATTGTATTATTTTGTGGAAGTCAATGAAAGACAACTTGAACATTTGATTTAAACACTCAGATTTGATTTTTTTGATTGTAAGCATGATGATAACACAATAAAATTTTTTCAAGAATGTGATTTTTTGAAGATTGTTTAAGTTTATAAAAAGGGCCGAATAAAATGGGCTTGTACATTGTAATAATAACCAAATTATTCAAGGTGTCTCATTCGAGCTGCAAAATTGGTTTTTGGCGAAAACGGTTCATCAAATTTACGTTTTCCATACAGCCTTGTAAAGAGGTTTCCAAGACCTTTCAAATGAAGTATCACTCAACTCCTCTCCCCTTTTTAAATTTGAGGGGTTGAAGAGCCCCCTATTAGGGGGTTGCTCGATCAAGCCTAAAATATACGTCAAAAGATGTCCCCCAAACAAAATCATTCGACATGTTTCGGGAAATTTCTCCACTCACTATGGGATGAGAAATATACGGGTTGTCTCGTCTGATATGGAACACCCTGTATAACTTCGCAATATATTAACCATATTCTCAAACATGTTTTATTGATGAAAAATGAGAATTGAAAATAAATGAACACTGTAGCTTATTGTATTCGTTTGAAAATGCCCTCGTAGGACGCAACTGCAATAACGTTAGTTACGAATACAAGTGACATAAAAACATTGGAAGTTTCAATTATCATTTCTCATGATGATTTCCTACTACGTAGTAACGGCTACATCCATTTATTTATGTTTCATTGAGATTGAAATGATCTTTTATTTTACACCTTTCAGCTAGGCTTGCACGTTGGCATGGATACTGTATACGAACTCATTTCTAAAAATATCTTCCCTCAAGACTATGGTGGTAGCGCCGAATCTATAGAAATTTTACACGGTAATGATCAGGCAATGATCGTTTACATGCTCGTTATTGATATATTTTTCAGAAAAGGTCAAAGCACGAATCAACGATAATGAAGAATTTTTCAAATATCAAGAATCCCAAGTAGTAGATGAATCGAAAAGACCTGGAAAGCCAATGAATGTTAGTGATATTTTCGGAATGGAAGGAACCTTTAAGCGATTGGAAGTGGACTAAATGAATAAATGCTTATAAACTGTACTTCTTTGATTGACGACTTGTTTATTTTGTGGAAATTCATGTTCACTGAGGATACACTATAAAACACACTTTTGTCTATTTTCCATGATAGTTTTATATTTGATGAATAGTTTCGGTCATTACACCATTTTCAAAACTAACTAGATTAAATTCAAATCTGAATTTTTATACCTACATTGCCTATACCTATCATAAATAATTTGATACCTGCATTGTCTATACCTGGAATAACTTCAATCAATAGCAGTATATCGATGAACATAAAAAAAAATGTTTTGATAAAATGTAGGTTTTTTTAGTATCGTTTGACATCAAAAACATGTTTTCAAATATTTCTGCTTTCCCCTGATAAAAACATATTAAATAGACATAATACAAACCCATATGTCAACAATAAACTCTGTGAACTGTTCAACACGTGTTTAAAACAAAACTATTTTAAATTCAATAATACATTTTATATACAAAACTCAGGCCTACCGATGGGATTACCGCTTGGTCCGTTACTAACGGATATCTTCCTAAACAATTTAGAGAATAATCTCATTTTAAATAAATCTCTTTTCCATAAACATATTGTGTACTGGTTTAGATATGTACACAGAAATTGTCTGCATTAAGGTCAATGATACATATGGCTTTCACAATACCCCTTTCTAATCAAAACCTCCGCAATCATTAAACAAATAGCAGTTAATAACAAAATACCTATTACTCCAGTTAACAACATTATAATGAAATATCAACATGAATCAGTAATGAAAGAACTATACTCAATTTCCACAAGACCAGAGCACAAATCAATTATGCAGGTAGAATCTCCGAGAATATTGAAAATTATTGTTCAAAATTTAATCTACAAACATCCTACAAATCCAACGGAAATTTAGAAAACAGATTATTTATTTGATGCCAAACCTAAATTAGACAATGGGAAGAGATCTGGTACTCGTATATATCGACTAGAATGTGGTGAATGCCCCGTCATATATACAAGTCAAACTGGTAGCAATTTTGATATAAGGTACCATGGGCATATATATCATTTCGGATAAAAAATCATTAATGTATGAACATCTTCAAAATTCGAAACATAAAATAGTTAAAATAACTTGAAAATCCTCCGCACATGCGAAAAAGGGAAAATGATGAATTTGTTGAAATCTATGGAAATAAACAAGTCAAAGAAAAAACCCAATTCTATTATTTCCAACTAACAACTTGATCTAAACAATAGTCCTCTCCTGAACCTATAACCCAGTTCCCAAAAACCTACTTTTTATCAAAAAAGTTTTTGTTATGTTCATCGATATACTGCTATTAATTGAGGTTATCCCAGGAATAGACAATGTAGGTATCAAATTATTTATGACAGCTATAGGCGATGTAGGTATAAATACTCAGATTTGAATGTAATCTAGTTAGTTTTGAAAATGGTGTAATGCCCGAAACTAGTCAACAAATATAAAACTATCGTGGAAAATAGACAAAAGTGTATTTTTATAGTGTAGCCTCATCTATAAAGTGTACCCACATTACAGTTCTTATCCAGAAAAAGCACTTCACGTCAATCACCTGAAATGCAATAATTTTCTCGACGCCCGTTTCACCAACTACGTTGATGTCTTCAGGAGATGTTTTTATTATTTTTTCCTCCTGATTGGTAAAACGCCCATCGAGAAGACTATTGCAATTCTGGTGATTGGGAAATTCAAGTTAGAGAACTCAAATAAAGTTCGATCTACAATAAATTCTTGAAGCATTTTCCAAAACAATTTTCCATCTTTAACTTTAGAAAGTGTAGAAAACATATCAAAATAATATATTGGAAATGTGACTATTCATCACTACTCATCATCATCAAAGGAATATTTATGGATGAGGAAAAAATGACATGATACTCACAATTCCTACAATTTTTTGAATGTTCATAAAAGAGAATTTCGTAATTTAACTGGGAAATCTTCGAAATCTTCACGGAATTGTCAAGACTTCGATTTGATGTTTTCCAATTGATAGTTTCTGTGTAATGAAATATGAATGGTGACAAAATGGATTCCTGTGGATAAGCAGCATTAAGAGAAATGTTTTTCGAAAAAGAGACAGAGGACCATCTTTAGCGTTGAAAAGCGAAAAATTATGCAGTATTCAAAATGATAACCCTGAAACCAATGTCCGGATATTTTCTTAAACCTAACGTTGCTATGTAATGATTAATTCTTGAGAAATACATATAGACGTCAATGAATGAGTTTAACGACTTCAGGAGCTGTTATGGATAGATTGTTTATGAAAATGAGAGAATTATGCCTTTAATCAATAAGTCAAACTAGTTAAAAAGGTTATTTCGTCTAGTTAACCTTGTTTATTTTTTGAAATATGGACAGAGGCAGTGTATAGTTTTTGGAAAGACGATGTCTCTGATAGAAAGTAGTGCCTCATACCTGGTGGTTTTTGAAATCGCATGTTAAAGAATAAGATCTTTGCCAATCTTTGATTAGCACAAGTTTCACGGATACATCTGCAAAGTTATTTTGCTAATATTACAGCCCTGTTAGAAGCCGTTGAAATAGAAACTGTAGTTGGTGTTCATTACGCTTCTACAGCCAATTACAGCAAGGAGTAACTTTTGGAGCTTTTTAATAGAATGAAGCTGATAAAACACCAAAATAGGCTACAATGTAATTAATTTGTCGAAACTCAAATCATGGTTACAATTTCTTTTTGAACAACACATTTTTAAGAAAATCAGGTCGTCCCTCGTATAAAATATGTATTATTCGCGATAAACATTCAGTTCAAGTTCAAAAAGAGACATATATCTACGACTGAGCGAGAAAGTGGTTTTTATCAAAATCAAAATATTACGAGTACGTGGCAAAAATAGGTTCAGTAAAAGCGTGAAGATGATTCCATGAAAACGTTTGTGATGTATAATTATTAATTGAACGATATTGTTAACGTCTATTTGTTCAGAGTAACCTTTGCCCTCATCAAATGGATAGACATAAAATTACATTCTTCATGCCTACAACTGCTTTCAATTTAAGGAATGGCGATTAGTTTTTTATTGTGAAAGTGTGTTCTGTGCAAATAATTCACATTCTTAATTTCAAGTAAGTAACTTGATAATTTATTTCCCAAATCAAATGAATATATTTGCAACTTTTCATATGTTGATTTGTTCTCGTGTTTGGTTGAATTCTAAACAAAACGGAAAAAACGAAATAAATTATGTCAAAAGAATCAAATTCCGTTAAAAATCGCACAATTTAGTATTTTTCAACAAATAAATTATATATAAACCTGGTATAGATGAATAATAAGGGCAGTAATCAGCAGTGTGTCGACTATTTCTAGAGTTTCACTTCCCTGGTATCTAAAGAAAGATATTAAATTAAAATGTTGATGTAAATAAATGGCTGGATTTGCAAAAAATGAGAAGACTTTGCAATCGTGACGATGCAAACCACTCGTTTTAACAAAACGTAAGTAAATTTCATAGGAACTCCAATCAACAATCCCAAAACGTTTCTGTGTTTGGATTAATTTCCATTTAAAATTTTTTGCAATTCGTCAATCAAAGTCCAAACAAAATAGTTCTGACATACACTAAAGCTAGTTCTGATGTATGGAAAAGAATTTATTTTTTACGACAAAGAGTTCAGTTCTTTTTTCAACTTGTCAATAAATGACACTTCTCATTTCAAATTCTGCCTGCATATTCCAAATAGGAGAGTAGGAATATTTTCTCAAATCCTTGAAAACCTCGAAGTTAACAAATTGTTCAAAACACATGAATGTAAACGAAACGAAGGTCGATGAAATTGATCTCGACAATGAAAAAAATTGGCTGAATTATAACAACTGGTGTCATTCACTACGATTTATTTGAAGCTGTATGTGAACTGAATTTAGCTTATCTTTTAATTTATATTTCTGAAATAGATATTGAAAGAAGGAGCAAGAAATATAGTCCGGTGATATCAAGTAACAATTTAGCAGATTTATTCTCCTCAATAATCAGTAATGTACTCAAAGTATCTTGTACTCCATCTGATTTGAAGGTCATAGTATCTAGTCGAATGAAAAGCCTGATTCAGTTCTAACCGAACTTGTCTCGAAGCTTCTGAAAGCGAAGATTCCCAAAAATGTCAAAAAATTCAAAAGAACGGACAGATTCATAACGTTGCATACCAGATGATTATCAGAAGAATATATATTTCTGAACGAACAACAAAACTTCCCAGGGAACTAAACAAACAAACAAATCAACCAAAGTTCCGGTACATTTAAAATTCAGTGTCAGACAGTTTTTGAATATGTGCGTTCCAAATAAATGGATTGGCAGGGGAGGCCCACAAAATTGGCCAGCAGGATCACCAGATTCAACTTGCCTCGATTTTTTTCTATAGAAAGCAAATCAAATAAATGTCGTTTCTTGATTCAGAAAATGCATTGAAATAAAAACTACCATTTGGAAAAGCCAATATCAGAAAAACTATTCAGGTTAGGTATAGGGAACCACAAAATGAAATGACAGATAACGGAATTTCATCAAAGTGTGCGTTTCAAAGTCTAGGTACATGAAAAAACCTAGAAGCTCTGTATTTCAAAGATGACTCTAGCAATACATCGAGTGTGCTACATTTTTGAAAGGATAATTGAAATATGCAGGAATATACAGGGCGTCTCATTGACAAAACAGTTTTTCATCAATAACTATCGATATCTCTTTTGAAAAAAAATAAGTTTTTCACATCATTGAATATTCTACGTAAAAAGTGCTTTGGACACGTTTTTTTACAAATAAGAAATTTTTGACACAAAAAAATTACAGCGATCTTTCAAAAATGCACATTTTTGAAATTATGCTCTAACTCAGAACCGATGATAGATATCGATATGTGGTTTTCTCCATTAAGTTTGTCATAAAATTTGATCCTCAGACACAGACATCAGTTTTTATCTATCTAGTTTGAAAACAGGAGTTTTCTGTTGAAAGTGTCCAATTAGGCCCACTCTGTATAGGTTAAGCCATTGGAAATACAACTTTTTAGTCTCCCAGTTGGTCTCATGGTATCTTGAAGACGCTAACTTGGTTGTAGAAACGCGCGTTGAGGATATTTTCGAAGTTCAAGTTATTGGAAAAAGTGCTTGATTCTCAATAGCAGTGCCGTTACAGATTCGAAATCAGTCATCTTTCAAAACACTCTTGAAATGACTAAATCGAATATGATTACTAGCTAGAAATAAAAGGAATAAATTAATAAGTACCCAAGTTTGAGACGAATGGACAAGATATTTTTCGATAATAATAAGAAATTATTTATTCATGTTGATGATATGCAATAGATTTTCTCCTTTTTTTTCGAAAACAAAACTATATGTGAAAAAAACAAGAGACAAAAAAGTTGTATTTTTTGTTGCTTCATCAATTGGATTTGTTTTTCTGGTATCTTGTGGATGACATTTTTCTCTCTTGAACCAACGAAATAGTTTATTTTATAGAGAAGCTATTCTCCAAATGAATTTTTTAAAAAGCGAATAATTGGCCATACGTTTTTATCGGTAAAAGAGAAGGGCGGGTTACTAAGGTTGCTTGAAGCTAGGCTATATTAGCGACAAATATTCAATAGAATGTATAATTTGAACTTTATGAAGAACTACCCAACGCAGAAACTACAATGCTCCCCCATGCCCCCTTCCCCACATGGTTACTGTGTGCACAACATCCCATGACGTCCATCCACCCCCATTCTCATGAGTGGACATTAACCTACTGATAGGCACTTCAGCAAGATTGACATCTGACCCACTGTGGTCGAAAGTCAGCCTTTAGTTGCTTTTACTTTCTAATCTATTATAAAACTACAATGCTGGAATGGTTTTATATTATCATAGGTGGGCGTGACTTTGTTTCTCCTAGGTGGATTACCTGATCTTGTACGTAGTCCATTAAGGACAGGCAGCCGGATTTTATCATTGTTCATGGCCTCGTCTTTTTTATTGAAATTATCCTTGTATATTTGAATTTCTATTGCGTCTCTATATACTCTTGAATATTAATTATAATTTTTGTCGAGTATTACTGTATTTTCGAATAAGAGCCTTCTTTAAGAGCATGTTTGGCTACAACTAGGCTACAGACGGGCTACAGACGGGTACCTATACTATTTTTCATGGTTTCAATGTAGACCGACCTGTAGCTACAAGAAATCCGGTATACCCTGTGTGTTGCTGAAGGCTCTCTGGGGTCCTTTACTGAACATAGACTTTGTCTGATAGTTTTTGTTGGCCCAAATATTGTTTTCTCGTCGTGTTTCTCTAAAAGTCTTCCCAACCCGGTTTGTAACATTGTTAACATAGAGAAGGAAAGCTTATCCTTCAACGGTCCTAGCTGAGATAACTTTGACCTTCTTTTTTGGGTCGTATGGCTCGCTCGAATTCAATTTCGCTGTACCCATTTCCTTAGAAGACATTTTTCAGGTGATTGAGATCCTCAGGAAGCATGCAAGGCGAAATAGACATCAACGACGTGTATGAAATGGATACAGGTTTGAAGGAAGAGGATGTTCTTTACCTCATGGAATGGAGTAAAACACAACCACATCTACCTCATGTGACTAGTAAGTGGAGATATGTATCACAATTAGATCAAATGGATAATTATCGAATCTCAACACCATAACACCGATTGCTCGTTTAGATGCAAGGCAACTAGTTGGAACCAGAACCCAGAAACGACGCATTAGTTATCCAACACCAGGCAGTGCTGTTGAGTCCCGTCATAGATCTCATTAGTGATGCCAGCTGAATCACGAGAGCTTTGTTAGTATGAGATCAACAGGAGAACCTCAATACACCTCAAAAGTAAACGGGACATCAACCGACGAACACGATTTTTCCCTGACTGAGGTTCAGAGAAAAAAAGTTGTCATTGGACGTATCCCTTTGCCTCAGGTGATCCTCCTTAATCTTTGATTTTCTTGGATTCAGTCTTCTGTCGACCTCATAGATAGCGCCTCCGCAAGGGAAGCTATCATCACCTTCAATTACTCTGGCTTTCTAAAACCATTAAGTTCAATTACGCTTGTGTTTTTCAGTTCAGCACCACTGATGAGAACTTTAGCGGGTCTGCGTCTGCTGTTATTTTCGGGTGCTGACTTTTAGCATTTTCATTCTTTAGTGAAAAATAAGATAATGAAATTTCTTTACAGAATTGCAGGTGGTGTTATTTCTCCACAGTTGCTACTACAATACTGAGAAGGCGAAACTTACTATTGACAAATACTTCACTATAAAAACAATGTGTCCAGACATTTTTGGGAACAGAAATCCAACTGATCCCGTTATACAATCTGCAATAAACTGTGTGTGAGTATTAGAGTGACTTCAGTGTTCACAGAGGTTACAAAAAATATATAATAATGTCGAGAAAATTTTCCCATTTTTGTTCTTGCGCTATCAAAATAAATAAGGATACTTGCTCTGAAATCTAAATAACGGTTTTTCATGTAGGCGTGGGAGGGCTAAGAATTTTCTATGATTGAAAATTCACTGAATTGGAAGTTTAAAATCAAAATAAAAAAAATCCGAGTTCAAGTAAAAATTTTCGAGTTCATCAAAATTCAGATTACAAGTGAAAATTTATCAATGAAGTCGCCCCGGAGCGCCAATTAATTTTTATTGTTGTATTTATTTTATTTTTATCGTTGTTTTAACACATTGTATTAATTTTATAAATATATTAAAAGTTTGCATCTTCGGTGAAATTATTGAGTAACTAACTACAGAGTTATATTATACGAATTGGTTTTTTTTAAATAGAGCACTAATTAGGAAAACGAGTTAGTATGCACATGTCTGAAGAAGCTATGTTATAGTGAAACAGGTGTTGCTGTTAGGTAAACTGCCCAGTGAAAATCTCATAATGTAGTATTATCCAAATGATTTATGGATTTTCATCAAGTATCGGTCAATTTGATCACATATCTGATGATTTTTTACTGAGTTTTGGGGTTCAGGAAAATTTTTATCCAGAAAATGATCGAGCGATACCCTGGGACTACTGACAAATACCTGTGATAATTTCAATTGAATATTTCAATGAGCAATCAAATAAAAACCCTCATACAATGATTAATATTCGGAATCCATTATCTAATTTCAAACTCGACTTTTCTCATAATCATTAATCAAACAACCCCCTCAGTATCTAAGAAAAGTCTCAGGACATTAAAAATAAACAAGTTATTCCCGGATAACGACAATATAAATTAGGTCTCAGACCTTGATTAGAGCTACCGCCTTTTTGAGGTTTTACTTGCGATAGCAGATTTCATTTGTTCGCAATTAGAAAGTCGGGGTGATAAGAGAATGAATAATGTAGCCTGAATTTCGTGAGAATCATTAATCTGATAAACGTTAGATGGGAGTTGATATTTTTGACATGATTGTGTCACATTATTATTCATAACGTATGTTGGTAAGTTATTGAAAAAATGTTATGAGTGAAATTCTTTAGGGAAAATCACGTTTTGCTTTCCATTTCAACATTTTTCAATTTTAACAAGATTCCTATGGCTCAGATTGAATCAAATGATAGATAGATAGGTAAATATAATTTATTGTCCGAGAATACATTCTCATTGACAAAGTGTGATGAAAATGTTTTCTGATAGGCGTCAGTCCATTAAACCTACTGTGTAGGTATATAGAGACTGGCTTGAACGTTTGAAGTTCCATTTACTTTAGATTTGATCTAGGAATTTTGTTAAATTTCGACTTCAATATCAGATTTTTTTCGAAATAATTTATGGCCTTTCTACAACTCCGTAGTTCTTCTTCAAACCAACGTTCATTCAAAATCATTATTTTTGTATTGAAAATAAGGACTGTCATTTTCCTTCTTTTCTATTTCAGACTGTTCATGCCGCTTCCAAAAGCAACTCCTGAAGGAGACTTGGTGCTCTTTGTCAAGATGATGGATAGCGACCCAAGTAATTATATATACGCTGTACAAATCAACTGTTTCGATATGATAACCATTCTTCATCTCCATCAAAATGGTCCACCAAATGGAGTCGTTATCGTTTTTGATATGGAAGGTTTCGCATTTGGACATTTTCTGAAAGTCAATATTGTTTATATGAGAACATTCTTATACTACCTCCAGGTACCATTTTTGGATTATTTTAAAAAAAATTTTTTATGTCTCTAGGTTCTCTCAAATAATTTTTTTGCTTTTAGATAATTTTATAGACTCACATAATCAGTTACAAAATTGAAACAAGTAATGATTGAATTTATGAATTGTCTCAGGGAGGTTTCCTGAAAACTATACAAAAATGTGAAATACTTCCAAAACTTTAGAACAGCAATATGATGCTCCTCGACTTCTTAACCTTCCACAACCTGAAAAATGAATTTGAACCAATAGAAAATCTGTTCAAGTGTAATGATGGTCAAACTGAAAAGTTACCCCGAAAACTTTGAAAAATCCAATTAGTAAGTAACTAATTGTGGTTATAATAATGATAATATAACAACGATTTATTTGAAATGAAATAGTTTTATAAAAATTACATCGAGGAAATACAAATACAAATAAATATAAAAACCAAGAAGCATCAAATGCTTCTATGTGGTGAAGAAGCCTAAATATAAAACCTCAAATATAAAATATACCTTACATCGAAAATATTGAATGAAGTATATAAATCTGATAAAGAATATTGAATCTAAAATCTAATCAAAATTTACATATGAAGAAAATCTCATATTGAAAATGTAAATTATCGGTATGATATTTCAACATTGAAAATACATAAATGATTACAGATACAACAAACAATATGTTATGGGTGTTAGGTGAGAAGTGTCAAAAATTCTTCGGTAAGTGTGTATTCCAATAAAACCAAGCAGATAAAACAAAACAGTCTAATAGTCCTAATACGTAGTCAAATGTTCAACAGAAAATCTGAAATATTTGCATTTTGCGTTGATTTCAGTCATGGACACGTCACATGTCAAGGATAAAAGTAATAAACATTGAGCTTCTTTTCACAACAAATATAGTAGAGAAATTAATTATTTTCAAGAAGTGCTTCAGCGACCATGATCAAAAATTTCATTGATTTTTTTCTCGTGGTAGACGTGGTAGAATTATGTTATCCGGTGAGGAGTTATAGACAATGGATCCCAGAAGAGTGAATGATTTCTAACCTTCAAACTCACGAGCGTATGGTACAGTATATTTAGTTTTGTTGCGTGTTTTGTGTTCGTGTTCAGACTTGCTCGATCTATTCATTTCCTTGTGTTGATATAACGCAAGAGTTTTGTAGAAGAGTTGTCTCAAATCAAGTATACCACTTCCATCATAAAATTTATGACTAGAATAACGAAGGGGTGAATAGCTAAAAAAAACAATTATATTAACCAAAAAAACCTGAAATGAAATAGTAGTGAGATAAAATACAAGTAAAAATAGAAAAATTGAAGAAACAAAAATAATAATAAGTTAAGAGATTCCAAGCCAAGTTACTTCACGACGTTTCGATTGTTAGTATCCACAATCGTCTTCGGGTCATTGTACCTCTTCGATACTTATAATCTAAATATATTTCCAACTCAGTTCTGAAAGATGATTTTTCAAACAAAACTGGAAAAAAATATCCATGTCATAATTTAATATATTTCTCCTTTTCTTCTCGCAGATGTAAGAGCATGGCAATGCTCTTTTCAGGAAAAAATATTGATTGTACCAATCCCATCATTGGTTATCAGAAAAATCATTGGCTGTGTCGTAGTTCAAAAAAACAAATGACAGAATGCGGTCTATTTCATTTTCTTTTCATTACAAAATTATTTTTGCTCATTTTGTGAACACTTCCTCGTCAAAAAGTGAGAACTGTGAGAATATTATCACAATGATATTTACGGCAAATAAGTTATAAAATGAAAAAAAACCAGATTTGTTTGTGATAATTATCCAACTACAATACAAAAATATGTTTCTCAGAAGTGAAACGATAAAATTTCAATATCCACTTGGTAGAAAGTCCCATTCACGGGACAAATAATTCTCGAAACCTTTGATATTGATATATTTCCATGAACCTATGCAAAGTGCAAACTTTCCCAATGAAACGGGCTCACGTTCTGCTAGAACGAGATTTTATTCACGGATCATGAGTGGAACGAAAAGTTTTGTAAACACCATTAAAGTTGTCGAACAATATTTCAAACTTTGCCGTTCTCTTTGACCCTAGAAGTGAGAGGTTGGAATCATGTATGTTATTCATGTGTTTCACGAGATTATGTGTCTTCTCGAATATGTTGTTTTTTTATTGAAATTCCAATCTGCATAATGCTTGTCTCATGTAATTATTCAGTTTTATAGTAGGTATATGTGAAACTGAAGAAATGATTTCGACGATTCTTATCAAGAAACTTTGCATATCAAATAATTACTTTTTTTTGTGAGTGTATGCAGATGTATATGCATTTTATGCAGATGCAAATGATATATCATATGGGCCAATTCTTTGGGAAATGGTATCAACGCAAAAAAATATTTATGTCACAAAAGAAGACTTAAGGATCTGGGGCTGGTTTCTTATACTTGATCCCATTTTTTATTGTTGAGGATACCTGTATCAACTTTTAATAGATGTTCATGAACTGGATCAACACAAAACAGAAATTTTGTTTTCCACGATCATGAGACAAGATGATATGATTTGTTGAGGGCAAGTAGATTCCGACTGAAAGAGTCAAGCAGAAACTCTATCGATGTTAACTTCTGTATTATTTTTCCTCATGTCAAAAAATTGAATCAATATTTGTTACAAGAGTATTTGAAAGATATGATAATTACAAATCGTGTTCATGTATAGCTGTCAATGCAACACAAATTAACGGCTGAGCAGTGCAATATTTATTGCATGTGAGTTATTCCTGGATATTAATGTAACAGTTGTTGCCCGCGGCTTCGCCCGCCTAGAATTTGGAGACTTTCGAAAACGTTAACGATTTATATAATTGAGTTGAGAATGAACATAATTTGATCAATAATTTCACATGAGTTGACGCTTACAATTCCTTAATACTATAAGTGACTGACTAACTAGATTTTAGTTAGAACTTTAAAAAGCAATTACTATCATTTTTTATGCTAATGAACAATTTTCATCAAATCAGCATGGTTTCACCCAGAACAAAAGTACTGAAACGGCACTGNCTAACTAGATTTTAGTTAGAACTTTAAAAAGCAATTACTATCATTTTTTATGCTAATGAACAATTTTCATCAAATCAGCATGGTTTCACCCAGAACAAAAGTACTGAAACGGCACTGAATTCTGAACATGTCATAAATGCCCTTCGATAATGTAAACCACATACTTCTACTTCAGATAATGGAACGATATGGCGTGAGGGGAACAGCATTGAAATTAATGAAATCTTATTTGCATGGCAGGACCCAAAAAGTAGTGATACGGAAAACTGTAAGTCAGTCAGTCCCCTTACTGTTTCTTATATATGAGAATGACTTGTTGTAGTTCATGAATAGTCTCACGGAAATACATGTGATTGCTTATGCAGACGACACCAATTTCCTCATGGAGGAGAGCAATGCAATAGCACTTGCAGAAAAAACAGAGAATATCTATGAGCAGGTAGTAACAAGGGCAAAAAAAATCAACCATCACTGAACATCACGAAAACATCATTAATGAAATTCTCGCTGAATTCTGCTCATGACAATTTTAGCATTTATGAGAACGAGGAGTTGTATGTTTTCATTACACTTGAGCAGATTATCTGTTGATCCAATTAATTTATTCATTTGAGGTTGAGAAAGAAAATCTTGAATGAACCAGGAAATAAAATAACAATGTTATGCCTATGTAGCTATGAAGACGATTTCAATATTTTTTGTTTTCACTAATCAATAATGACGGAACACAAAAGTACTTCCTAAAAAGAAAACCGTAAATGGAATAGTTGGTGATTCAATAGTAACCTCATTTCATTCAGAGATTTTTGAAACATTTAATGTTCAAATTTCATAAATTTGTTACGATAACTTTCTGCAATTCATATGACAATACTACTAGAGTACCTACCAACTTTTTCAAAATGATCATGATAGCACTAACATTTCAATTGCATACAAATGTAGTAACATATGGAAAGAAACAATGAAATGATAGTGGGCTGGGCTGAAAAGTTAGTAGGCTAACATGTTTGATAAAATTCGAGGCGTTACAAAGATTATAGTGTTCATACAATTTTTCGATATCATTTTTATGGTATGATTTTTCATCAGCCTCAAATAGGCCTCAGTTTCGACTCGACGATTACCTCTTCATTGGCGCTAAATTTATTTTCAGCGAACATTGACTTAGGAACTAAGCACCAGAAATAGTCGCTGAGGGCCAGATCTGCAGAATACGGTGGATGCGAAAGCAATCGGAAGCCAATTCATGCAATTTTGCCATCGTTTCCATTGATTCGTGATACATAACGATTTCATTCTTCAAATGCTCCAATAACGCTATGTAATAGTCGCTGTCGATGGTTTTTTCTCTTTTCAAGATAGTAGATGGATATTATACCATGAACATCCCAAAATATCTTTAGGCACCTTGCCAGCCGACTGTTGCGTCTTTGCAAGCTTTGGAGTCGGTTCCCCAAGTGCAGCCCATTCGGATGACGATCGTTTTGATTCTGGCGTGAGGTGATGGAGCCAAGTTTCATCTATTGTCATATATCGACGCATGAATTCGATTTTTTTGAGGTGAACCATCTTCAAACACTGCTCAGAATCATCGATTCGTTGTTGTTTTCGGTCGATTGTAGGCTAGCGCGGCACCCACTCTTGACAGAGCTTTCGCATACTCAAATATTCATACATGATATGTCGAACACGTTCCTTTGATATCTTTAGAGCCTCAGCTATCTCGAACTTTGCGTTCATTTCACTGTGTGCAACATTTTTTGTCGCCAAAAATCATAGCTTATTAACTAACACACGAAATTTCTTTTAATCCATTTTCTTCAAACTAACAAAAGTTGCTCCACTCAGAATGTTCTATTCCACAAACTAATTGTCCGACTGTTGTGAAATTGTATAAACTTCACGTGTCTTTTTTTTGAAGACAAAACACAAGCACTCCAAGAAAATCCTTAAGGCGCTCTTAGAGCGGTGCCTGTGCGAAAGTAGCGATTCACACTGGATTTGAATCAATGGAGATCAACACAGTTATCCAGATGAAAAAGTTCTTATGCAGTGATGTTCGAGGTGTACCGAACTGAACCTCAAAACGATGAGCAGCCATAGTTCATCGCCTATTTCTGATATGTATCGCTCTTGGTAGAATAACATGTGCCAAGCCACTTGAACACCTTCCGTAAAAGTATTGTTAAATATAGAAGATAATCATGAAATAATTCAGATTCATTTAAGTAAATACATGAATTGAAAGATGTTCCAACCTCACTTCAATATTTTAACACAAGA